GGCTCACTGTCTGTTCCTCAGGCTGGGACAGGAGATCACACACTGTATTATTATTATTGAGAGACAGGCTCACTGTCTGTTCCTCAGGCTGGGACAGGGTTCACACACTGTATTATAACTATTATTGAGAGACAGGCTCAATTCCGGGATTAGATCCTGTTCCTTCTCTAAGTGCAGGATCAGTAATATAGTTTACACAGACGTAACTCTCTTACAAGGTTTCAGACACAAGATGGCTTAAGTGAAATAGGAAAGTCTTAAAAGCCCTGGAGACTCACCTGAACTGTGGATCTTGGCTCAGTCGTCCCAGACGTCCAAAGGGAGAGTTTTCTCTGGACCTGAGGGAGGAGTTCAAGTACCATACCATGAAAAATTCATCCCCTGTATTAATATTTGATTTTCTCCTGCTAGCTGTCCCCAGGACTGCTGAAAACATTTTTAACTCACATGTTCGCAAACTCTACAGCTCCCTGCTCTTTGTATTTGTATGTGTATTTATATCCCGTTTAAGACCGATTCTTTCCTTCACTGCTGCAGAGAAATCAGTTCATGTTTCTGACTCCTCAGGATTAGATCATTGCAATGCCTTGTTTGCTGGTTCATCGAGGAAATGTCTACAGAAACGACAGTTTGTCCAGATCCGCGCTGCTCGAGTGCTGAGCCGTTCTTATGAACCTGCACTGGCGACCAGTCTCTTTCAGGACAGACGTTTAAATTCTCTTGCTGGCCCGCCTGTGTCCCGTGTGCCAGCAGGAGCTGCCGTCGCCACACGTCCCGGCCTGCTCTCGGTGTCCCCCCACATGACCCTGGACTCCTTCACAAAACCCCTTCGTGCACAGACACAATTAGCCACAGACAGGTATAAAACTCGACAGACCGTCTGACTCTGCAGAAAGAGGCTCCGCTCAGCTCCTTGGGCCCGGGGTCATGTAACGGGTCGGGCTACCCTCGGCTCCGGCGCTAAACGGAACAGAAACCCAGCGGCAGAACCGAGCCGTCGCCCCGTGAGAAGGAGGAGGAGGAGGACGGGACCCCGGGAGGACGTGTTGTCAGTCTTACCTGCGCGGGACACCTGAGCCAGGTGCGCACAGGTGGGGTGGGGGCGCGCTCCCCGGCAGGCTCGTTCACAACTCGCTCCAGAACTTCCAAATTTCACGAGACATTTCAGTCGCTAGACAAGCGACTGCGATACCTTTGGCGATCCACTCTCTTTTCGGTATTATGGTTGTTGTTGTTGTTGTTACGGCAGCAGAAGTTTTGGGCTTCGTGCGCTCACGGCTGCTGTGACGCGGAGAGCCTCGGCTGGTTTCCCACACTGCACTCTTAGAGAGGCAGGTGCATTTCCCCCAAACCGGCCACCAGGGGGCAGAGCTCTACACACCGGTGGCAATCCTGTGTTCTGTGCAGGGGGTCACGATTGCTCCAGGGCCCCGTGTGCACCTCCTGTGCGGAGTCTGCACGTTCTCCCCTCGTGGGCTTGGGTGTTCACAGCTGGCTGCGATCATACCGAGGGCAGCACTCCCCGTTGTGTCTGAATCTGGGTCACAGGTTGAGAAATAACACTTCGGCGTGGGACAGGAGTCTGGGCCACCCTGGGTCAGGGGTGGAGACCTGCCTTGCGCCCTGTGCTTCTGGGAAAAAGCGGCTTTCTATGTGTCAGGTCGCTTCAAACAAGATCACCCTGCCCTAGTCCCTCACACGCTCATAGCAGTTAGTTGATCCAAGGATCTCATCCAGCTGTTTCCTGAAAGAAGTCAGGACATTGACTTCAACCATGTGGCTGGGCAGCTTGTTCCACACTCCCACAACCTTTTGTGTAAAGCAGTGACTCCTGTTCTGGGTTTTAAATGCTCTTCCCTTCAGTCTCCACTTGTGGCCTCTGGTCCATGCTTCACTGCAGATTCTGCAGTCTGCAGGAGTGACTCCGAAGTGCTGCCTCTGGAGCAGGGAGTCAGCCAGCCTGGCAGACAAGCTAACCGGCGCTGATCTCTGCACTCATTAAGGCAGGCAACTGAAAAATGAGAATTCAGCCTAAGAACTGGCCTGCAGACTCTCCACATTCCAGGCAGGGCTCTCGGAGAGCCGCAGCAAGCAGCGACAGCAGGTGATGGATTGGTCAAGATTAAAGAGACACCTGGGCTCATTTATATGGAGTGAGACCGCCTCACAGCCTGTCCCTGCCCCCTGCTGTGGAGACAGCGAATTCCCTACAGAAGCTTGCAGGTCTTGGCCTAGGACACCTGCTCTTTCATCTCATTTATTATCAGCCTCACAGCCCAGTTTCTGTGAAGTCATGAGCTCACCTCTCCAGCTCTGCCTCCTTAGCACCAGCAGAGAGGGGCAAAGGTCAGAGGTCGAGGGCCCAGGGCACTCCCCACACCTCCTCCCTGTCAGATCACAGCCCTGCGGTCTAGAGGCAGAGTGAAGTCAAATTCTGCCAACTGCCTTAGCAGCCAAAAAAACAAACCCTCGTTTCTCAGAGTTGACCTGTTGCTGACAGAGGGCTGGTGATAGACTTTTTAATAGTTGTCTTTTTAAAAAACATTTCCCTCCTTTCTAATTAACCATTGAACAGAAACAAACCAGTAAGAACTATAGGAGGGTTCCTAGCTGGAGATCCATGGATCAAGTAAATAGATCTTCTGTTTTTCAGCGACGGATAATGTTGTATATCATTTTCAAACTGTATCTTAGTCATTTAACTGGTAGGGTTCCAAATGCAATCTGCTTTTTTTATTAAAAAAGCTGCAGTACAGTCACCTGTACAGCCCTGTTTCTGCAAAACTGTACTTCAAATGCATATGTAGTTTTTTAAGGTTCTTTTAAAAAAACTGTACAGTTTTACAGTATGTAGTTTTTACCCCATACTTTATAACATTATACAGAAAACAAATTCAAAATGCTTAAAACACACGTACACAACATCCCCAAAGCACAATGTATAACACATTGGGGAATATTAAGCTACTACAAAAAAGTTTTAATGCAATTATCCAGCTTTTTTTTTTTAACATCGGCATCGGGCGCCAGATTTTTTTAATCGCTTATTTGATTATAGTTTTCTTCTTAGAAAAACTGTTCCCCCCCAAAAAAAAAACAAGCCCTGAAACGTTCATTCACATTCTGATGGGACTAATTTGGAGCAAGCACTGGTGGGTACACGTCATTCTGCCCCAAACAGCTGTAACCGTTTACTGTAATGTTTTTTTTAAACGTTAATTCACGGGAATTTTCAACACTCTGATCAACTCCCTTCCAAGAAATCCACCCTCAGCATTCAAAATACACAATAGCATGAAAACACAGGGTCCCCTGTCAGACCTGGATGATCGGAGTCACGAACTCCAGCCCACTTACGAGGATTCAGTGAACAGTCCTGCAGGGCTTCTGGGGGTCTCGGACTCTGCAAGGGTCTGACCTCATCGTGGTTATAAGACGAACCACACCGCGTGCAGGCCTTCACTCCCAGGTCATGAAGAGCATGCAGTAACATGTGACATCTGTATGTTGCTCTAGTTTGTTCATATAAAACTCTGCCCCTTTCTCAACCAGTGGGGCCAGACGATGAGTTCCAGACTCCTGCAGCCCTCTGTGCCCCTACCTTTCTGACAGCTGGCTTTTGGCACGGTTGGCGATCTTGGCAAGGGCCGCAGACTGGACTCGGCCACTGGGTTAAGAACATTAAAATACTCAAAATCGACCAACAACGCCTCCTTCTCAGGCAGCAGGACTTGAGCTGCTCTGGTGACCCCCACAGCTTCAAGACTGAGATATAACCAACACGCGTCCAGCACCACATTTCACAGGGACTGCTGCAAAGCATGCTGAAGCCTCTAAAAAAAAATATCAAGACCACACCTTCCGAAACAGGCAGTTCAAACTTTTTTTAATCTGCGAACCAGAGAGCCGATTTTCACGGCACAGCTGTGCTGCTGCAGCTGAAGTCTGATGAAAATGGGGGAAAAAAAGCAACACTCCAGAGGTTTATTACCCTGTTTTCAATTTTTATTTTAATTAAAATTCCAACTTTTTCTTTAACATACACGGACCACTTGTCTACATAATGACCTACGCACGCCTACGTTTATAAAAAGCCCCTCCTCCCGTACACAGGAGGGGGGCAGCAGAGACAGCAAGCAGAGAGGAAGAGGAGGGCTGAGTTAATGAAGGACCCAGGCGATTTCGGACAACTAAACAGCAGGACTTTTAAAATCTGTTGGATGGTAATCATTCTAGACATCAGTGTCGTGGGGAAGACAACAAATTGTTACCAAAACAGTCCTGTGAGAAGCAGTTTGAGCAGACCTGCTGGAAACAAGGCTGTGGCAAATCCAGAGTTATCCCAGCGGTGAGCAACCCTGGGCGGAGAGCCAACACCCTTCTCCTCCCAAGACCTCCTCCCAAGCAATCTCCGAAGGCTCGGAACACGTGGGCGGAACTGGAGCCCAGCCGGGAATGAGAGCAACGGGGTGCTGGCATTGTGGCTTCAAAGATCTCGACAGTAAACACGGTCTTCGCAGGCCGTCAAGAAGGGAGAGCTGTTCCGAGCGTTCCGAGATTGCCGGCCGGAGGGCGCTCGGGCGTGGCTCTCCGAGAGCAGGATCGGACCCATAGAAAGGGGCTTAAAAACCCTGCTTAGAACGTAACGGAATAAAAAACAAACAGATGATGGGATCAGATCTAAGTCTAAGTCCAGAAACCGCCTGAAATCCCCCGCAGGAAGACCACAGTCAATTGTGCGGATTAGGGAACGGCTTCCTCCTCCGCCCTCCAAGACCCCCTCTGTCACAAGCAGCGGGTGCGTCCCCCTAGCAGGCCCCCCCGACCCCCGCGGCGCCCGGGGAGCGGTTCCCGGCCGTCTCCGTCTGGGGAGGCGCGCCGGGGCGGCGGGCGCAGGGGGACTCTCCCACATCAGCCTATTAAAGACAACGAAGGAGAATGGAAAAGGTGGCGGCTCTCCTTTCAGCCGAACGCACAGCAGGCAACGCCACTCGGGAGGCGCCGACACCACACGCCCGCCGTCCTGGAGCAGCCCGGGGCTCGGCGCCCGCAGCCTCTGCTCCGAGTAACCGGACGGGCTCCGGCTTGGTTCTGGAGAGCCTCCGTCCAGCAGGATTTGTACCTCACGGGAAAAATCGCCGAACTCTCCGAAGACCCGGAGAAGTTATCACATGATCAATTACGCACGTGATCTGAGTAATTTAGAGATCACTTGGGACCACAGCCTAAGGTCTCATGATCAATCGGATCACTTGGTTAAATAATCAGTCAGTTACAGGCCTTCTCGATCGTTAGGAACCAACCGACCTACAGAGACCTAGAGGACCTGCTGGACTGGGGCGCCCCAGGAGAGAAGGGGGGCGTCACGGGGCCCCTGCGCTTTGATCACAAGACAAGCCCCTTGGCGTTCTCAAGTCACACAAAAGTTCGTAGGGTTCTGTCAAAAGCAAATCATTCCGAACCCGTGCTTCATTTCGGCCAGCGTTGCCTGCTCAGAGCCGGGAGAGTGGGAATTTTCACAGCAGGTAAGAAAAATCTGCTGCCTTTGTCACATCTGCCAGGTCTCTGGCTCAACACAGCAGCGGGGCCAGACTGCTGCATCGCGGACGCTGGGACACGCCTCCGGGTACACACCCTGGCAGGGCTGCCCCGCGTGCACGAGAGGGGGAGGGAAAGGAGAGCCACGTTGTGCGTTTAGCAGTTAAACATCATAAAAACAGTAACGTGTTAATGGACACAGCTAACAGCGACGGGGACGACGGCGGGTCAGCGTCTTACAGAGCCGAGACGACGGGCTCCCGGACCGCTGGCGAGCGCCGCGCGGGGGAGACAGCGCGGCCGGCGGAGACAGGCAGGGGACGCGAGCAGCAGCAGAAGAAAAGTGCCCACAAAATGCAGATCGATCTGCCCCACCCAGCGGGACAGCGCAGGTGGCCTGGCTGCAGCCACACTTCAGCCCCGACGGCCAGCGGGGCGCGGGCGGGGGTCACTCTGAAGCAGGGGGCAGCCCCAGGGTTCGGGACGCCGGCTGGAGCCCACAAGGCCGAGAAGTTGAGGCTTCCCCCGATACTGGCGGAGCGCTCAAGCCCCCCGGGGCTGCGATTCAAGCGCAAGACCTTCCCGACCAGCCCGGCTCGGACCACCACTCCCGAACGGCACCAGACCCGCCCGGCGCGGGGGGCAGCGGCGGCGTGTCGGGGGGCACGAAGTTCTTGGGGTCCCCCCCGCCTGCCTTCAGGAACACACCGGTCCGAGTTCTCGCCCCTGTGGGCCGAGCAGCCCTCCAGCTTTCCCGGGCTCCGGCGGGATCTAAAAGCCTCTTCCGCCCGGCCGACCGAGCCCGGAGAGGCGTCTGAAGTGGACGTGAGGACTCTCTCGCTTTGGGAGCTCAATGGCTTTGGCGCTGAAAACCAGACGCTTGCTTGTCTGTGGTTAAATACACCTCTGCTTCACATGCAGCGTTCCTCCTTGAATCCTCCCAATATTCCTCCTTACATCCCGCCCCCCTCCCACAGAGACCCCCCACATCGCTCTCGAGACACACGGAGGAATCGCTCGGCTCACACGAGTGGGGGGGAAAAATAAGGCACATCGACGAAGGCCGCAGAACACCGGACAGTCCTGGCGTCTCTCCGCCAGGTGCCAGCAGCCGGAACCCGCGTGCCAGCCGAGCGATCTCCCCCGTGGGAAGAGGACGAAAACGAGTCCCGTTCCCGTTCTGTGCCGCGGCTTCTCCAGCAGTCCCGGCGGACACGCTCGAAAGTTTCAAGATAAAAAGGAAGTTTGTCAGTTAAGCACCTTAGGCGAGAGCCTCTCCCCCTGTTCCCAGCCTCTCCCTGGAAACAAGCCGGGTCCTCCCGGGTCTCGTTCCCGTGTTGCCTGCGCTCCGGCGACCGATCCCAGGTCGCCCCCGGCTTCGCCCCGGAACACAGCCGCCTCCAGCAAAACCACAAACAGGGGGAGAAAAAGCACGGTTTCCTGGCGTCCCGGCGGAGACCTGGCTGTGCTGAGCCCGGGAGTCTGGAGCGCGGGGCCCCCCTCCGCGCCACGAGCCAAGCCGAAGGCAGGGATAAAAAGCCAATCCAGGCAGGGAGCTGGGAACGATCCACTCGGCTTTAGGTCTCCTTCGCCCCATCAGCCAGAACCAAAAGGAGGAAAAGGCTGGAGCTGGGCCTCGAAAGTAAAAACATTCCTGTTCCAAAGCTTCAAACGCTGTCGTTCAGTCACACTAGCTTTCCAGTTCTCTCCCCAGAAAGAAAAACAACAACATCAGTTTCTGGTCTAGTGGCAGCTAAGCCCCCCGTCAGAAGTGCAATTTTCGGAGTTTACAGAGGAGCGCCGTTTCACCACACCATTCGTCTCGCTACAAAACCAGCCTGTACCCCGAAGACCGCTGCTACTGCCTGCTCTTCTTGTTCCGGGTGCGGACTGGCGCAGAGCACGACAGGCAGTGCTCGTCTCCACTCCTCTTTGTAACAGAAGCTCCCAACTCTCGACCTTTTTGACACCAAATTGCTGCAGATTAAAAAAAAAAAGAAGAGAGAACGCAGTTCCAAAGGTCAGCCAACACCATATTACACTCTTGGTGCCCCAAAAAAAGGTGTACTTTTTTTCTGCCCTCATATGTAGGGTATTTTCTTGTTTTTTTTGTCCCTTTAACATTTGTGTTCCAAAAAGCAAAAAAAATAAAAATGATGAGAGAACTGCAATCCCTGAAGTGCCCAGCAGGGCGGCGCTGCTCCACACAGCGGAGGCGCCGTTTAGCGGATGTGGGCCATCTCCTCCAGGAAGGGGGTCTTCATGCAGCCCGTGCAGAGCTGGTCCATCCAGAGGGGCGCCTCGTGCTGCAGGGGCGTGCGGCGGGGGTAGAAGGTGTAGCGGAGGTCGTAGTTCAGCAGGCAGCTGATGGAGGCCATGTAGAGGTCGGAGAAGCGGCACAGGCGGCGCGAGAAGTAGGTGGGGTTGTGGCAGGTGCGGAAGATGCTGCCGAACTGGGGGTTGAACAGGTTCTTGGTGACGGCCCTGGGAGGAGAGGGAAGCACAGGGAGGGTCAGCGCGGCGCCCGCCCACAGCGATCCAGAAGCCCCTGCTGCTGCTCTGGCCCTTCCGCAGCGGGCTCGGGGCTCGCGGGCCCTGGGTTCACTTCTGGCCCGGGGGACCCTCACCGCCCCCCCCCCCACTGCCTGGGTTTTCACCGGGTGACCCGGTTTCCTCCCACCTGTCTGGGACGAGCCGCCTGGGGGGAGCAGGCGCCTCCGAACTGTCCCTGCGCCCCGCAGAGGAGTGGAGCCCCGCTCAGGGCGCCATCCTGCCGCGGGCCCTACCCAGCTTTCAGACGGACAGACAGATAGTGCGGCGATGCCAGCGGCTCTCGGGCAAGACGAGGTCGAGCGCCGAGCCCCGGGACAGGCCGCGCTGGCCCGACCCCGGCCCCCGCGCCCAGCGGACAGGTACCTGAGCTCCTCCCGCTCCTTCAGCCAGTCCTGCAGGACCTTCTGCGACTCCGCGTCGCGATGCATCTGGGGGCGAGGAAGAGAGCAGACGCCATGAGAAAGAGGACACAACCCTGTGGGAGATCGGGGCCCCACAAAAGCGGACGAAACCTGGGGCTGGAGGAAACCCAGCTGCCATGTTGGGGATGCCAGAGGGGCTCCACTGCCCACCCTGGAGGACTAAGGGCTGGGGAACGCCGAGCTTGCAGCTCCGGCTCGAGGTCCCCCCTTCACCACAGTAATAATCCTGTCAGAACCCAGGCTCTGCTCACTGAGCCACACGCCACCAAGCAGCTCCCAGCGACTGCTAACCCTGTGTTTGTGGTTTAGTCCGGGTGAGAACTAAGGGGTGCAAACGCACACCGGGGCAAGACCCCGCCTCTGCGCGCGCCGCCGGCTCACCTGCATGCGCTCCAGCAGGCCGGTCAGGGCCTGCAGCCAGGTGAGGCTCTGAGCGTACTGCTCCGTGTTCACCACCTTCGTCTCCACCTCCAGCTCCGGCACGATGGCGCCCGTCCTCCAGCCGTGACGCAGCATCAGGTCCTGCAGGAGAGGCGCGGGGTTAGGATGACATCATGGACCCCTGACCCCTGACCCCTGACCCTGCTGCCCCACCAGAGGGGAGCACACACACGAACATGAAAACACGGGACACGAGTGAAGACGCACACAGAACACGAGCAAACACACACATTCATACGTGTACACACACACACACACAATTGCTTGTATGTTGACAGGTTTCAAGGGCACCCAGGCAGAGGACAGGCTAATCAAAAGTACAACACAGCAAGAGCAAACAGAGCCACACGCACACATCACAGCACAGGGCCTAGAAAAACAGAGTGGTGAAGTGAGCAACACACTGGGCTCTCTCCTTTATTTGTGTCTGTGCTACTGGCCATAGCAAGCCCACACAAAACAAAGGACAAAAACAAACACCAGATTCACTTACTGCCAAGTCACTGTACAGGTGGTCCCCAAAATAAAGCACCTTGGAGCCCCTCCATCCTGTCAGCCTCAGGAAGTCGAAGAGATTACCCTGCAAAGCACAACAAGACTGTGAGCTCCAGGTCTCTCCTGTCTGCTCCAACACTCAGGATTCTTAGAAGCACAGAGAGAGATGAGGGAATCTCACAGAGAAGGGAACCTGTCTGCCAGTAAAATGCAGAACCTGCTCAGGAGGTTTCAATCAAGGAGTTTAAAATGGCTTCAAGGTGTGCAGTCTGTTGCCTGACCTCTGCATCACCTTTCACACAGGTGTGCCCACGAAAACACGGCAGTGAACAGACACCTGGACTGCAAATACCCAACTTCTGCATCCAAAGCACACACCTGCTGGCCGAGCAGGGTGTCTCTCACATTCCTCATAAACAGGACCCTTCCGCCTGGAGTTCAAGCAGTGAGGGGAAAAAAGACATTCATGGTGTCCGAAGTGCGGCTGAAATGAAAGATGGTGTCCACTGCCTTTCAGACAGAAAATAAAAGCCTAGGTATGTACTGTTTGCAAACTCGAGGAATAGCTGAGAAGGATGCACGTACTGTGTCAACGCGCGGGACATGTATACCGCTGATAAACTGGACACACGGAGCCTCCTATCTTCAGTCCACTGGCCCTGACGAGGGACACAGCGACATGACTACATTCTAATAATAATGTAATGTTAATAATAATAATAATAATGTTTCTTTATTAGCCCTATACAATTTCTTGCATTAGGAATTTGTCTTTTCGCATACCCCAGCTTTTCTCCATGGAGACACAGACAGGGAGAGAGAAGCTGGGGGTCAGAGTGCAGGGTCAGCCATTTATACAGCGCCCCTGGAGCAGTTGGGGTTAAGGGCCTTGCTCAGGGGCCCAACGGAGTAGGATTCCTCTGCCGCCCCAAATTCTGGAGAGGTACGCCAGTCTACCAACTGGGCTTCTTCCCAGGAAAAAAGAGCTCCTCCGCCCTCCGAGCCCTGGCTGAGCCAAATGCCGTTTCTCACGCAGGGCCAAGACCTGCCTCCTGGAAACTTTGTGAAATAACGTATTTTCCCAGAGACGCCTGACTGCAGGAGACACGACATGACTGCAGTATGCAATTACAGAAAAGCAACTTCAGACAGAGGCTTGCGCTTGGAGTGAGTGGACTTCGGTAAAGAAAACAAAACAAAAAAACTTTCCCCAGATGCAGCACCCAAGATTCACCACTAGCTGGAGCCCAACCATACACCCCATGTGCTTGTCTCTGCTCCCACTTGAGCCATAGCAACAGCCACGGGATTGGCTCAGCCTCCTGTCCCCAGACAGCCAATCGGGGGCCGGCCGGAGAGCCGAGTGTGGGCCTCTCTCATTAGCAGGGACACGATGTTCTCCGTCGCCGGGGCAACCGAGCTGGGTCTGGCCCGGCGCTCCGTCGAGCCCTCGAGATCCCTGCCCAGGCAGGCTTTCACCCAGGGACGAACAAAACCCCACGTTTTCCCTCCTGCCCAAGGGGAACGCCAAGCCCGGACTCGCGCATAACCGCGTCCAAAACGCCAACAGAGGGCGAGAGTCGTGCATTTTCAAAAACCAAGAGGTTTCAGCTTCTAGGGATCAAACCGAGCGAAGAGATATCAAAGAAAATGCAGCTGCCAACTTGAAAATGCTCCAAAAAGTTTTCTTTAACAAATTTAAACATTTTTTTTAAAAATTAAAATGTTAAAAATGCGAAATGGCAGCAAGCTGTCGGGCAGTGAACAGTTGTTGTTTTTTTTAAATCCTCGTGGAACAAGCCAGACTATCTTGCTTATATCTCCAAGCTGGTCATATCTGAGCCAAGCCACACGACAATCTAACTTTGTCAACTGTTTTCTCGGTAAAGCTGCTGTGTGAAAAAGGGTCACGCTGCCAGGATTTTCCAGTTAACCAGCAGCTGTGTAAGCCGCTCGGCTCTCCCCTGCCTGGTAAGAGGGACTTCTGCAAAAATCTTCCGTCTTCTGCCTCAGGAGTGAGACACACATTAGCTGGATGACCTAAAGCAGATTCCAGCTAAATTAGATAGATGTTTATCTTGTGTGGGGTCCCATTAAAGCATGAAAGGTCACAGCTGAGGCACTGGGAGAGAGAGAGAGGGAGGGAGGTAGTGTGGGCTAGTGGTTAGAGCTGAGGCACTGGGGGAGAGAGAGAGGGAGG